GTGACTGACTTAGCAGTCTAGGAGCGGAGGTCCCTGGGACCATCAAGGGAGAAGAGCGGAGAGCGTGACCCTACCCAGAGAAGCAGTGACGCCAGAGATAGAGGCAGAGACGATGACGTGGAGAGATGGAGCAGTTGGGGACTTTAGACACAGAGAGGGAGAGGGGCTGTGTGCTGATGACCGGGGGGCAGGCTTGAGGTGTATACCTTATGGTTGGTTGATGGTGCATGGAGGGGACTGTAACCATGGCAATGAAGCAATACATGATAGGATGAATGTAAAGCTAATGTTCTCCCATGTAAACTATCACATAATTCACAACAAAACATTAAAAAAAAGTGCTTTCTAGCACACATCGTAACCCTGAATTCTCTGATAAATGACATAAATCGTGTCTTTACATATTGATATATGGCACTGTCTATTCTTTTTACTTTTTAAAAACATTTGTCACTGAATTTTACTAAAATATGTTGTTTTTTCACACACAAACGATGGGCATGCTGTCAGTAAGAAGAAATTTCAGGTTGAATTTTCCAGATCCATGCAAACCAGTTTTTCTGACTTATCTGTTATACAAAATATACATTTTTCAAGTAATATTTGGGGATTAACTTTGTGGACACTGAATGACTAGGGTTAATTGTCTCTGTGGTAACTTCACATGTGACCTTGGCTCTAACTTGGTAAGAATTCCTCAAACATTAAAACAAGATCTATACTCATAATTAAGGATAATGAAATGAACCAATGGTTTTAAGTTCTCAAGTAGCAATATTCATTGAGAACAGTTGACTGGCAGTACTCAACACATGGCTATGGCCCAAATAGTTTCAAGTTGGTATACTTAGTACAAAGAACAGCTTGAAAATGTTCAAGACTACATATCCCAAGTTTCTCAGCTAGAGAAATGCTCTGAGAGAAATACAGTTGCTCAAATCCACAAGGAGATGTATAAACTCGATACCTGATCCTTATTCTAAAGATAATGCTATGTCTATTCCTCACTGTGGTGATGACTTGTACCACCAAGTTGGTTCTGACTCACAGCGACCCTGGATAGGGTTTTTGAGGCTGCAAATCTTTACAGAAGCAGAAACTTCAGTTTTCTCCCATCGAGCGACCGGCAGATTCAAACTACTGGCCCTGCGGTTAGCAGCCCAGCTTGTAATCCACTATTCCTCATGGTTAATAAACATTTTTTAAGATACTTTTTTTTTTAATAAAAGGGCAAAGCCACAAAAATGTACTAGTGTGTCCAGTACATTAAAAATAGGAAACAACACACATACCAGTTAATTCTAAGTATGTCACTGTTATTTATAAAAAATAACTTTTAGTTTTCTAATCAAAACACCCTTATCTCTTGCCTAAATATTTTCCAAGCTCCTAACAATGAAAATCTGTACTCTTCATTAGGATTAAACTGAAAAAGAAAACTAGCCAACATGGTCTCTATGATTTTATCTGAAGATGTCTAAATTTTACATAATTTTTATTGTATTATCAAATGACAACTACTTAAATATTTTGAACTTTTTATCAAATAAGAAATTATTAAAATATTTAAAAATTGTTAAAATATTACTCATATTACACTTTTAACTAGTATACTGAAAGAAATCTTAATCTATGTACATATTAAGAAAAAATATTTACTATTGTGGGGAGTATATATACAGAACAAAAAAATGACCACTTCAATATTTTTTACACATACAATTCAATGGCATCGATTATTTTCACCACGGTGTTCAATCATCATCACTATCTGGCTCCAAATGTTTACACCACCCTTAAGAGACGCTCCATGCCCTATAAGCAACACCTCCTTCTTCCCCCCTCCCTTCTATCCTCTGTAGTTACTAATAAGCATGTCTGTATTTGCCTATTCCAGGTATTTCATATAAATGGGATCATACAATATTTGTCTTTTGTGACTTATTTCACTTAGCATAATGTTTCCAAGGTTCATCTATGTTGTAGCATGTATCTGGATTTCATTTCTCTTTATGGCTGAGTAGTACTCTGTGTGTCTATGTACCACACTTTGTTTATCCATTTCTGTATTGATGGGCATTTAGGATGTTTCCACCTTTTGGCTACCGTGACTAATACTGGAGTAAACATTATATGTCTACATTTGAAAAGGCTCAATTAATGTAATGAATACCATTTCCTTTGTAATAACAGAGAATTGAAAAAACAAAACAAAACAATACTGTACCATCTCCTGGATGCAGAAGATACACTGAATTTACTCTCAAATGCAATTAAAGTTAAGTAGGACTAAGAAAGTTAATATATGTACAATACAGTTCATACTACAAATTTCTCAAGAATACAAACCTTTGCATCTAAAATATTGAGAGTTGTTTCAATTTGTTGAATACGAAGAGAAAGGTCTGACAGCTTCTGAAAATGAAAGAGTAGATACATAATTAATAAGTCTTTGATTAATACATTGTCAATAATAATAATAAAGGAAAGATTTGAAAATAATGAAAACTGTGGTTTACACGTATCTGTCATTTTTCAGTTCTGTTGTGGCGCTGTAAAATAAGCACTGGAATGCTAACTGCAAAGTCAGTGGTTCAAACCCACCAGCCACTGTTTGGAAAGCCTATGAAGGCTCACTACTAGTTGGAAGTGACTTGATAGCACTTAACAACAACACTCTATTATACTTAAGTAGGAATGAAAACTCAAATGTTTTATTATTTTCATTAGCATGTTTCAGGTTATTTTGTTAAATTGTATTCTGAGTTAAGAAAAAGTTAAACTTTCAGACTTTCAAAGTCATTTTCAGAGCAGTAAACAATCACTATGATTTATATGTAGAATATAAACTCTACATGGACAGTCTTTTGTTTATTGCTGTACCCCAGTGCCTAGAACAGTATCTAACATTTAACAGGAGCTTAATATGTATTTGTTGATGAATGAAGGAGTTCTTCACAGAAAAACAAGTGAGTCAAAGATAGCCTGGGGCAGGATCTGCCTTTATAAATTAATTCAATACATAAGCATATACAACTGGTCCCAACTTTAAACTTTCAGATTTGGAAAGTAAAAGAGATACAATTGGGAGATAAGCAGTTCAAAAAATGAAAAAGTACTGAAAATCAAGAGGAAGCAATCGACTATCAAAATCCGAGACACCCGAACAAAGAGCTTACTATGCTCTAGTTACACTGTACAAGTAAATAATTTATAATTATTTAGAGCTAGATACAGATAGACACACACACAAATAAAAATAAAATTATAAAATACCCCTAAGAACACTTATATAAAACTCCTAATCCTAAGTATCACTATATTCAGTCCCACCATCCAAGAAGAAGTTGGCCAGTTTAAGAGCTGGCAGATGTGCAACATTCTGACCGCTCTCTGGGATATTATCAAGATCCTGACTAACTCATAAACAGAACTTTAACACTGAGAAATGGTTATGTGACCAACATTTAGAAGGAAAATACTGAAAAATTCCAGAGTAGTTAATGATTCTTCACAGAACACTTATTTTCAAGATGAACATGGTGATATCTACAAAGACGTAATTAAGGAATAAAACATTAAAATCTAGTTTTAATGGCACTCAGTGTGAACAATCAAACTAAGTTTAACCTCAACATCCAGGATTTCGCATAAGGTTTATGTATGTAAACATAAAAACTGGTTTATAAAACACAGAAAGATTAATCCCTTCTTTAAATTATAAGAGTATTATTGAAAATCATGCAAATTATATTTCAGCAAACTTAATCAGTCTTCTATTAATTAGAAAAACTTAGTAACTGAAGAAATCTATAATAAATTAGTTTATGAGTAACAATTTATAACTTTTTAAAAAATACATACATTAGTTTAATATAAAAGAACACACAGAAAAAGAAAAAATGTATTCAAAAAAACTAATTTTTGTCTTAACATGTCCATGTAAATATATACTTTTCAGCAATTATCATCACTGAAACATGTTAGCATTTATCTTACATGTTACGTATCATTTAACTTCTCACACCAAATTGATAAAGTGGCGGGGGGGGGGGGGGTGGCATTGTGTCAAGTTGGTTACCACTCAAAGCAATCTGTGTAGGGTTTCTGAGGCTGTCAATTTTTACAGGAGCAGAAAGCCTCCTCTTCCTCCCACAGATTACCTGGTAGATTTAAACTGCTGACCTTATGGTTAGCAACCCACTTCATAACCCACTAAGCTATCAGGGCTCCAAACCTGTAAAGAGTTACTGTTGTTACATGCCAGTAAGTCCATTAGGATATGTCAATTTTTAAAATGAGAGAATTACATCATCTTATAAATGAAATAATCTGAACTCACACACTCCAACTCCAGAACCACCAGGTACTACTATCTTCATCAGGTAATATTTTTGTAACAGTTTTATATTGTTGAAATATGAAGGAAAAATCTGGGGTACTGCCTAGACAGAAGTTTTGTTATTCAAAGCTAATAAAGATTACTTTGACTCTCATTAAGACTAAAATGCTTCTGTACCAAATACTGAATCAAAATTTTCTGATCATGGTAAATCTTCTGACATACATACTACTTGCCTGCAGTTATTTAAAAGTGGTATTTGAAAAGTTTCACGGTTATATAATAAAACTAGGAGTCCCAGGATGTCGCACTGTAAGACAAGCACTGGACTGCTATGCACAAGATCAGTGGTTCAAACCCACCAGTCACTTCTCTGAAACCCTAACAGGCTCACATAAATTGGAACCGACTCAATGGCACACAACAATGTGATAATTCTAATGTACACTCAATGATTCACACAGGATGGGATAGATGCACAGTAAACGAGGAAGTAATGATGAAAATGTTTATTTGGAAAACTAAGAAAATTTAAAGTGGCTTAGTAAAAAAGAAGTTCCACTTTGTAGATTAGTGATTCTCAACTTTTTCTGGATACAAATTAGTCTGGTACAACAATCTTTTGCTTTCGTACTCACCTTACCTTCTATCTACCACAATCAGAATGATCGTGTCAATGATTTAACTATGTGAAACATGAAAAATACAGATTAATTCTAAACACCAATCTATTTTAATTTTTAAAAGTTTATTTGAATGATGTTGATAGTTTAAAAAAATTTTTTTTAATTTAAAATGATTATAAGGATTCATATTTCAAGTAGTAGTTTTTTACTTACTACTACTACTACTATTTTACAACCAGATTGATGCAAGGAAGATTTCAACAACAAACTGAGTTTTACAATACGTCCATTAAGTTTCAAGAATTTTCAAAACAATCTAGTTGTTAATTTACAAAACATTTGCAGGGATGGTAAGTATGCCAAGTAGTGATTTTCAAAAGTGGTAAGTAATATTAGCAAACATTACACCAGCTCTAAAATACATGGATACCTTCAGGGGTAAAAAAATAACAACATAATCTATTACAACATAGATCTTCCCAAGACAAGAGGAATGTCTTTTGTTGATAACGATTTTGAGAAAATCATTTACATAGTGATTCTGAACCTGGGGTCCATGAAACTTGGGTGGGAAAAAATTACATATCAGTTTTTACCAATTTTAATTTTGAATTTAAATTTAGCCTTTTCTTCAACTTTAATCTAAGAGGATTACAGCAGTATTCGGAACTATAGCTTTGCCACCAACAGAAATCACAAAAAAATGAAAAATCACATTGTAATTACTGTAGATTTTCACAATACTTATGTTTATCATAATTTAAAATGACATCTGTTACTAGTCATGTCACTTGAATATACGTTTAATGTATTAATAAGGGACTTATTCAGAAAACAAAAACTCAAATCCACTGCCACGGAGTCTATTCTGACTCACAGCCACCCAGTAAAGGTAAAGTATAATTGCTGAGGGTTCCAAACTGGGACTCTTTACAGGAACACACAGCCTCCTCTTTCTCCCATGAAGGAGCTGATGTGTTTGAACCGCAGACTTTGCAGTCAGCAGGCTTTAGGACTATTTATCATAATTTTAAGTTTTTAAAAGCCTTTTGATAATGATATTTGATTGATTCTTTTTTAATCGTATTTATGTTATTTTATGCATTTGAAAACATTAATTTGGTTTCACTACACTGGTGTCCTTGTGTGGCGCTGCAGGATAATGCACTGGACCGAAGGTGGTTTTGAAACACAAGGTTGGCAGTTCAAACTCACCAGCCGCTCCTCAGAAACCCTATACAGGGTTGCTATGAGTCGGAACCAACTCCACGGCACTTAACAACAACAACACAATGCTACAGGAGCCCTGATAATGAAGTGGATTACAAGCTGGGTTGCTAACTGCCTGATCAGTAGTTCAAATCTACCAGTCACTCCATGGGAGAAAGATGAAAATTTCTGTTCCCATAAAGATTTACAGCCTCAGAAGTCCTATATAGGGCTGCTATGAGCCAGAACTGATTCAATGGCACACAACCACCACCAGCATCACATTGCCAAGAGCGCTGGTGGTGGTGTAGGATTCAGCCCTAGACTGTTAACCACAAGTCTGCGGTTCAAGCACAACAGTTGCTGGGAAGGTTAAAGATGAGGTTTTCTGCTCCAGTGAAGATTTACAGGGTTGCTAAGAGTCATAAACAACTCCATGACATGTAATAACAGACTGTAAAAGAATTCACAGGACAATTAAGAATCTTTGGTCTTTAAAGAAAGAAGGTGCTCTGGTGGTATAATGGATTAAGCATTAAAGGCCAGCAGTTCAAACCCACCAGTCACTCTGTGGGAGAAATATGAAGCTGTCTGCTCCCATAGTTTTAGCCTTAGAAACCCTATAGGGTAGTTCTATTCTGTCCTATAGGGTCACTATGAGCCAGAATCAACGTGACAGCAAAAGGTGGGATCAGCATGGGACTATTAACTGCAAAGTCGGCAGTTCTAACCCACTTGCCGCTCCATGGAAGAAAGATGAGGATGTCTGCTTCCATACCGGTTGACTCTCAGGAGTAATTCTAGTCTGTGCTATGGGATCACTATGAGTTGGAATCAACTCAATAACAGTGGTTAGAATGTTCATTTCTACAATGTTTCTGCCTCTGTAACTTCGAGACCCCTCTAACGTAGTTTCTCAACTGTGGCTCCATTGACATTTTGTAATTTGCTGTCCGGAGCTGTTTGTGCACTGTAGGATATTTAGCAGTATGTTTGGCATCTACTTACTAAATGCCAGTAGCACCCTCCAGTTGTGACAATCAACAAAGTCTGTGTTGTTAAGAGCACTGTAGAGTTGGTTACGATTCATAGCACATTTGTATATGGTTTCTGAGAAGCAGGTAATAGGTTTGAACTGACGACCTTAGGGTTAGCAGTCTAGTGCATAACCCTAATAGCAGCATACCAGGACTTGCCAAATGCCCCCTGGTTGAGAACCACGGTTGTACAGTGTGAAT